GTGCTTGAAAACATCTGCTACCTTTCCCCTTCCTTTTGCCGTATAAAACTCCTGTCCCGGAAGCTGCTTGTAGTCGGCTTTGACGTAGGTTTCGTCGTCCATTACCACGCAGTCAAACTTCTCCAGCATCGTCGTGTACAGCCTCCGGGATCGCGCTTTGGCCGTCGTATTTTGTTTATCATCGCGATTTGGAGTCACTACCTTCTTGTAAGTCGATAGTCCGGCTCGTTTTTTGGCTCGATGCACGGTTGTAGACGATACACCCAGCTTATTTGCGGCATCTCGGAGAGAGAGGTTAGGGTTTCGCTTGAAACTACCGGCAACTCTCTTTGTCGTCTCAGCGGCTTCCGGTTTTTGATTTCCCCCCGATCCAGACTTCCTGGCTGTCGACAAACGTTCCTCAAACACTTTAATTACATTTGTAACGGTTGATTTGGCAACTTTTAGCGATTTTGCCAACTTTGCGTGCGAGTAGCTCGGATTTTCGCGATGCGCGAGCAAAATTTTGATACGCTGCTCTTCTTGCTTGGACGGCATTTTGACAACTGAAGAGTGAATTCCAAAATCAAAATAGGAGCAACATTCTACACACACACACCTTCAAAATGAGGGGTGTTCAGGTTTTTTAAATGCAAAATTGAAAGAAATATGTCCAGTTGATATTGACCTAATTTTGACCGTATCACCCTTTACAATTAATTACATCATTTGTGTGGTAGTTACACCGAAAAGTCGAGAGATGTCGCCCCGCCAGTGCTGGTAAAATCATTTTTGCAGTATGGAGAATATCAGAAAATCCACAATTTCTTACGAAATACATTTTCAATGCAAGTAAAATGTTTACGAGTACTTGTATTTGTACCATTTTAATGTGCTCGGGCACTTTTCTTGTATTTAACATACATGCTTATATTGGAAATATTCAATTAATACTGTAAATACCCATACAATCTCTAATCGTTTACTACCAGCTCCATTTGCATCCGAAAGCGGTTGGTCCTCTGGTTGTGAATGCTGTCAAAAACACCATAACATGATTAATTGTCGATGGAAATTTGATAGGTTCCCGAGCAGAGGGTGAGAACAAAATGAAAACAAGAATTATGTTGTTTTCATTATTCCTGATAACTCAAATTGATTTCATTTTGATGGAGTTGATGGCTAACAGAACAAAAATGAGAGCTAAAAGATATGCGAAGAATATCAAAATTATAACATATATTGATATTAGTGAGAACTGCTTGATAACTTATTTTGATATAATTTTTTTTCTCAAGCATTTTATAAAAATCTGTATAAATCTGTATTGTAATTTGAAAATCTGTGATAAATCTGTATTCTGTATCGGGTCTGTATTAAGATTAAAAAATCTGTATAATACAGATAAATCTGTATAAATGGCAGCGCTGGTCTTAAAGGTTCTTGCAATTCGCGTTTCTGCAAAAGTTTGCAATAATTCCTTGAAAAGACATACGAAAATATCAAAACGGATTTTTTGAGAGGTCTAACGTTAACGAAGTTGAATTCATCGTTAGTTTTAACGGTTTAACTGTTACGCGTAATATTCTCTCACAGGTTAATTGACAGATAACAACGCTAACTTTTTGATAAACGAATTTACAAAGAGACGCCATGTTCCGTTTGGAATTCCAATTTATCTGTCAGTGTCATTCCAATCGAGCACGAGACCTGTATAACCAAAAAAATTGTTACTGTTATTGGTGGTGATTGTAGAAGAATTGCTATTTGCTTCATCAAGCTTTTCAGGTATTTACAGGTATAATCTCTAAAATAAAGCAATATGAAAAGATAAATTCTAACGGCGCCGGTGGTGTAGTGGTAAGCGTGATTACCTCTCACCCCAGCAGGCCTGGGTTCAATACCAGTCGGCGCCGCCGGGATGTTCTGAGGCATAACATCTCTGATCACGCCTTCCTTCGGATGGGAAGTAAAGCCGTTGGTCCCCGGTTCATGAGTTGATGGGTCGATAGGTAGGGTCCAGGTGTGGGAGCTGCCTTCTTGGCATGTCGGCAGCATTGGTGCTCAGCACGGAAAACAAGATCGACGGAAAAAAACAAACCAAAGGAAAAAAAAAGATAAATTCGTTTAATTTAAATTGATTACCAACTCTAAATCGAATAACCGAAAAAAAAACAACACTGAATAATTTTCCTCGCATAACAACAAACGTGACCAAATCGAAAGTCAAGCGAAGTTTTGAGCATTGACAGTGTTGCATGCGTCGGCTACCTTGGTTTCTAGATGATTTGTTTTCACAGGGATCATATCTAGACCAACAATTCAGGCATAACATCTGATAACGGCACACAAGCATTTGTAAACAAACTTTCTAAGGCCTTTTACACGTGAACCAAAGTACACCCACGCAAATCAACAACATCATCGGATAGGGGTAACTATCAACTTTCCGAAAGTGGTATTGGTTTGCGTGGGCGTACTTTGGTTCGCGTGTAAAGGGCCTTAGAAAGTTTGTTTACAAATGCTTTTGTGCCGTTATCAAATGTGCCTGAATTGAAATAGGCGCAACAACCAAACGTAAACAATGGCTTTAATCGCAAATTTCTTGAGAATCAAAACACACTCACGCAATTTTGACACCACCATCTGATAGATAAAACTTCCTTTATCGAATGGTATTGTTAGTTTGCGTGGGTGTATTTTGATTCTCCAGAAAATTGCGATTAAAGCCATTGTTTACGTTTGGTGGTTCCACCTATTTTAATTGTTGGTCTAGATATGGCGTCTCTTATTGTATAATTGAAGTTTATCGACACTTGATTGAAGGCTCACCGCTGTTCACACCCACTCTCGTACACGGGAACAAATCCAATCTCAGAAATGAGAAAAATGACTCATGATTTCATGAACATAGCGTATTTTCATGTTATGAAAATACACCATGAATAATACTCATGATATCATGAGCTAGTTTTGCGTAACGCAGCTAAGATTCCCGAAATCATTAACTTTTAGCTTTTAAACCAAAACATGTATTGAACATAAAATAAAGCATCAGATCAGACTGTATTCGAACCAAGAACCTTGTGATAATTAAACCCATACTTTGACCACTATAAGCAAAAATCAATACGAAACTAACGATTTTAAATTGGCTCACTACTTGACTAGCCTACTGGTCCCAAGCAAACGATTAACGTATCCCATTCTAGCCGAAATTCTAGTACTACGCAATGTTTGTTTTAATTCGCTATGAATGTTTGACAGATAAAATCTGGGGTTAGTGGTTTTACCTATGTTTCGAGGGGTACTATCTTCGGTCCCAAGCTAATCGATTCACACGTCGAAACATAGGAAAATCCACTAACCCCTAATTTTATCTGTCAAACTTTCATAGCGAATTAAAACAAACATTGTGTAGTACTAGAATTTTTACTAAAATTTTTATTCATGAAAATGGAACCGGATTTATTACCGTGTACTAGTTCCAGCATCTTCTTTCAACTGTGCGTGCAGTAGATTGCATGTTCGATTAGGAACAACTATAGTTTCATCAGCTCCGCCATCACCTCGCGATAGTAAATTCTGCAAAAATGTGCGTGATCACATGCTCAAAAAGTGTCGTCTAGAACAGTGTTTCTCAATCTATGGGTCGCGATCCACCGGTGGCTCATTATAACCTTTAAAACAGCAAAACTGGCATCACAATTGCTGAACTTGCCCATAATTACCAAAAATAGATTTAAAATGGCTTGGATTAGCTAAAGAAAAACGCCAAAATAATGTTAATATTACTAAAACGACAACTCTTATATGAAAAGCCAAAAATGGTTCAAGATAATCAAAGTGGGCTTTCCACACTGGATTTGGAAAGCCAAAATAATACTGAAATTAATTGATAGAACAGTCTTGAAAACATGGCGACGCCAGTGGTGTAGTGGTAAGCGTAATTACCTCTCACCCCAGCAGGCCTGGGTTCAATCCCAGGCCTGCTGGGGTGAGAGGTAATTACGCTTACCACTACACACCCGGCGCCGCTAAAAAAAAAAATCTTAAAAACTATTTGGGCGTTAAATTCAATTCAATAAATAAAAAAAAAGCCTTGCAAATCCCAAAAGGATTTTGATATAGGTCGTTATTGTAACTCAAAATATAGGAAAATTTTCTGACTTAGAAACTCTTGTTGTTGTTCAATTGTTACCAACAATCAAACATCAAGATTGTAAATCACCTTGGATTAAATTTAACAAACTCCAGCTACGAGAAAAATAGCTCAACCCAACAACAACAGCAAAAAATAACGTCTGTTGCCAACTATCTCTCATCCGCATTTTCCACGTGCAATGCTAAACAAACGGCCTGAGCTCAAAAAATCAATACGATGAATATCTACAATAGCTCCAACGAAAGGACTTTCCCACCAGCCCAAGGTCGATCAAGCGAGAGCAATTTCCACATACAGAGAAATTGTGTGATGATTTTCAACTTTATCTTCTGCTGGCTCACGTCATATGCCTATACCATTTGTCGTGACAATTGATCACTTATTTTTTCTTCTTTTATTTGATGAATATTAGAATGCTTCGCGGGAAACTATACACTATGTCCAAAGTCTTAAAAGTGTGTCCCCATCGAGAAAGACGTGGGCGAATGACTTTACCCACTCAACGAAAGAAGGCGAATCATATTTTCTTCTTTCCGTCCCCGAGGATACAACACACGTCGAAAGAATTTTTCATACATCCATTGGGTACGTAGGCACTGTGAAGTATGAAGAGTAATGAACGCGATAGCATATACATAAATATCCATGTACATAATCATATTTTCTTTCTCCATCTTCTTTTCAATGACGATTTGAGTGTTTTTTCCTTTTGCACTTGTGCCTACTGGGATAAGAAAAGTAAGCTTGTGAAATGAGCTTTTCTCTCATGGGATTGACTTGCAAATATCTAGAACATGATCCTTTCCGCACTTTTTCTGAAAGATTTTACATTGCAGGTAATCATACTTTTACTCACCTTATGGTATGTTTTGTTTTTCTTATAATCCAATAGTTCAGGAATGGAGCAGGTACTCCAAAAAGCAGCTTACTTGGATGATTTTTGTTTCTAAATTAATACTGCATCTAGTAAGCTCTGTGATTCACAACAATCGTTACACTGCTGAGAAAATTACGAAAATACACTACTGGTAGGGACACCGAAATAACAGCAGCGCTATATAACGCCTACGCTCACTAGATCAAAGTAAGTTTTACAATCATTTCCAATTTTCACATTCACGTCATACTCAATTTTCACTGCAATGTCAACCTCTGAATAACATCACCATCGATTGAATGCTGATCAGAATTTATATCTTCGATTGGCAGATTTTCAAAACTGCAACCCGTTTTCTGCTCACGCGATTATTGATTAATTTTCCATGTTCACTTTCGTCACTTTGCATTCTTCCTTCGTCACGGATGAAGCGAACGGCAGCGATTGCTGGCACGTCTAGGGCGATGATAGCTCTATGACATCTTCCTGGCTCTTAACCGTATATCCCGAGACCTGTGTACCTACATGCGATTTGACATTTGACCGACACGAAAGCTAGTGCGCATGCTTTCCAACTGTCGGATGTAGTTGTCGTGTGGATTGGTAGGAATGTCCAATTTTTTTTAAGTGTTTGGACTGCAATCCAACTGGTTGTAAAATATCAATAAATAGTCACCATAATCTAAACGTTTAAGTTTTGCTGAATTAAAGAAATATTCCTGTACACATGCGCCTTATGACGATCGATTGAATTAAATCTGAGTGATTTTCTCAATTTGAAGTATTTTTTTTCATCTAGCTCGAGATATAATGACACAGCTCGCACTTGTTTGAAGTTGCCCAGACTTACTTAGGGTTTTTCTATAAAAAAATAACTGTAAAACATACCTTGAGCGACTACGAGCTTGTTCGACCTGCTTGTCTCAGTGAACACCAGTTTGATTCAGTTTGTAATTTTCTTTATTTTTACGGAGAAATGCCTATGAAAAATATCAATTAGATGAATTCGTTTATTTTTATCCTTACTCCTCGTGGTTATACGTCAAAATCTCGACCGAGATCGACCTGCTAAAACTTACTCGCAGTAAATAGTGCAAGCGGTTTCAACGGTTAACGGTTGAAACTAGTCGGAAACATGGAACTAGCACCCAAATTGCACCGGGGAAGATCACAAATACTCATCCCAAGTAAAGAAAAATAGTTTTATCATAGTGTTGTAGGCCATAATTTGGTCTTAAAGAATCCTTTGAGGCTTTATAAAACTTGCATTACTTGAAATCAATGATTTTTATATCACATTCATCTACACATCTGTGTACTACTTTCATATTATGTCTTTCACTATAGTAAAGTATCAAAAAATCTTCAAAATTATTGCACATTATGCTCTCACTCGCAATCTACTCGTGGGGCAAACAGTAATTTTGCCATTACTCCTACCACGATAGCTTACAGAGTTATTCTTTAAAAATTTATTTTGGTGTGACTATAATAAAAAAAAAATAAAGATCTGAACTCCAGGCATTTTGAAAAATTTGAAATCATGGTTCGAATATATATCAAACTGAATGATATTATGGGGCTTCACGAAGGTTTAACCATTCTATTATTAAGTCGAATCTTTGCATACCTTGTTGAGTCTGCAGAACTTCAAGATCAGATATGCGGGATGATTTGAGTAATCCAGTAATGTTATTTTTAAGAACGATTAATAATTTTGAATGAGATTATGAGTCTCCGTGAAATACAAAATGCTCAAAACTTCTGAGGGCACATCGAACAAAATTTCGGTTACCCTGTAAAAAATGGCCAGGACAATTTGAAGAATCATAAATATTTTGGTAACACATCTTTGTATTCTACAAAATGTTATTTGGCTTATAGAACTTCAAGATCCAAACTCCACGAAGATTTGAAGAACTTTCAATACTGCGTTTCTCCTGTTCAGGCCTCTTGTATTGATATATGCTTTTTCCGACATACCAAAACAAGATTTAGGCTCATTTTGTGCAGTGAAACTCTTTGATTTTATACGAATATATGATTCCGTGAAATGTTGGAGATCTATATCTTCAACATCTTAATGTAAATCTCATCTCATTTTTTTCTATACAGTAGACGTATTGTAGAGCAATTCTGATCAAAAGTGGTATGATTATCTTCAAACGGTTATTTTTGAACGCCTTTTTTGTTTAAGGTAGGGGTGATGTTTGAGTTGGGATTATTATTAAATAACCGGGAAATAAAAAATCGGATTTGAATGGACACCCTGATATCGGTATAAAGGAATATTCGAACTATGATTTCAAATTCAAATGCAGTAAAAAAATCGTATAATAAAAAAGCCAAAATCAACAAAGGTCTAAACTGGTTTTGTAGACAATGCAAAGTAGTGCGAGTTGGGAATTTAAACTTTGCTTTTTCTTTAGGCCGTTTTGGAATAAGGGTGGCCCTCAAATTAATTATTATTCTAAATCTTACTTTCTTATTTTTGAAAATAGAGACATATTATCCTCAAACACAATTATAGCTGAGATGATTTGGAACTATTTGGTTAAAGAACTATTTTGTTCTATCTCTTAACGTTCTCATTTTAGAGCTATTTTATGAGGATACTTAGGGTGTTCCTGAAAAAAATAGTTTTTCCGCTTTCTCATATTAAATTTTTCGTGAAAGTGACCTTCAGATAATTTTTAGTACTTATTGATATGCACCTTTTTGTCGCCTTCCACCTGGCTTTGTAACATCGATCAACTTTATGTGGAATATATCGCGAATTGGTTGCCTGTAATTTACTGATTACCAATTCACGATATATTCCACGTAAAGTTGAGCGATAATACAAAACCATTAATGGACCTTACTGACTACCATAACAATTAGCATTAATGTTCTCAAATCATAAGTAAAAACGTTCTTATATAGTTCTCTTTCTGAAAATGTATGGAGAAAACAAGAATTTGGAATGGTAATGGTTCTTAACAACCCATTATTTGTAAGGTCCAGTTCCAAAAAACCATAATACATAAGGTTGAAACTTTATCATTAAACGTTCATGTAAAGTTCTATAACCATTTCAGTTAAAGTTTAGCAGGGATTATAAACAATTTTTAACCATTTTAGGTAAGGTCAATTTATGGTTCGCGTTTATGCGGGAAGGCAATCAAAACATGGCGAATCACGACACATCCAAATTTCAATTCTAGATGCTCAAAAATCTCACACTTGCGAAACAATCTTCGAAAAATCTTTTTTTCAGGAAATCTACAGAATCATCATCAATCTTCTTTCTATCTACTCCGCGTGCACGCAGCTATCCACAGCAAAACATATTTTTCCTGTATCGTAGACAGAGTCGTTCCCCTCGGATGAAAGCGCATGTATCTGTCCAATCGCCTTGGTGTATTCGGTGCACTTATCCTGTTATCCCTGATGATACAAGCAATACGTGCTGCGACGACACCAAAACGATTTGACGAACACGTTATCACACTTTTTTTCTATTTTGGGGCAGTGTAATTTCAGATACAATCAGCAATTCAACTTGTGCCTACTGATCGATGACATCAAAGGTAAAAGCAAACTTCCAAGCTGGGAAAGAGAGACAACTACACTGAGGCAATTAGACTTAAGAATTTCATAAGGCCCGACTTATGAACGACACATATGAATTTCATAAGCGCGACTTATGAAAGATTTTCGTCTAACATAAGGTAGCTATTATAGGCCTTTAGCAATTTCATTTAACCTCGCATTTACCCAAGCGTTGACAGAAGAGTGGTCCAGACACAGGACCCGTAATCTCAACGTCCATGGTTCGGTTCCAGTTTAATTATTTTTTGGCGACATTATTTTTCATAAGCGGAGCCGGTGGTGTAGTGGTAAGTGTGATTACCTCTCACCCCAGCAGGTCTGGGTTCAATCCCAGTCGGTGCCGCCGTGATGTTCTGAGGCATAACATCTCTGATCACGCCTTCCTTGGGAAGGGAAGTAAAGCCATTGGTCCCCGGTTCATGAGTTGATGGGTCGATAGGTAGGGTCCAGGTGTGGGAGCTACCTCCATGGCGTCGGTAGCATTGGTGCTCAGCACGGAAAACAAGATCGACGGAAACGAAATCAAGGAAAAAATTTTTTTTTTCATAAGGTAAATCTATAAAATTCATATCGATTACTTGTGGCTAAAATTCATAAGTGGTTTTTAAGGAATTCTTACGTTCTTTTGCATCGGTGTAGATAAACATTTACAAGTGCACCACAGACAAACAGATATAATTCTCGTAAGTTGTTCATCGAACATGCATTGAACGGTCAATTTAAATGTTTCGTAGTTGGTAGTACCGCCACCTGTGGCGCGCTTAGTCAATTGTCTTGCGTTTGACGTTTACACGCTATCACCATTTGTTCAGCGTACTGGTCATCACAGTGTACTCAACAGATGGCGGTCTTGTTTTAGAGACGATGTTTACTGCGTGAAATATTCAATGCGTTATGTCTGTTTCTCTGTGGGTACAGTATGTTAACTTTTTGCTGGTTCGTACCTAAGGGGAAGAGCAGACAACTGGTTTATTTTTGTCTGTGACGTGTTCTTCTTCCCTCGCGGAAATGACCGTGCAAAAACTATTTCATTATGGGCGACGCAGTCGACTGTCAAAAAACAAATTCTCGCGTTTGTATATGTTCGACCGACCAATCAGTTGAAGATCTGTTCAAAAGAATCGGCTCTCCTTAGTGAGCTGGACGAATCAGCTGTTTGCCCACCTCTTGCACGTCTCTTCATCGTTCCAGTTGGTTCGTTATCTTATGACGTGCACAGCCAGCGTTACCAGTATTCCAGATTTATCTGGATTTTCCAGATTTTTAGCCGTCTTTCCAGAACACAGACAGACCACGTATATTTCCAGATTTTTTTAAATATGTTCCAGGTTTTCCCAGATTTTTTAAACATGTTGCATTAAAAATATCACTGCAATTGATCTACCCTCTAATAAAAAAAATAAAAATCCAAACTTGCTACTTCAATTTTTAAAGGATATCAACGTTGGACATTATTGGAATTTTAAGGTAATTCTGAAAATAGTTTACAGTTAAGTGTGAGGCGAATTTTTTGTGAAATCAAAGGAGAATTAAACTTATTCTGAGTAGAATTACATCCATCTTTGTGGGCTTCGGGGTCGTGCGGCGTCACCCATCATTTAGGCATATTGTGAGTGCCTTGAAGTGAGGGTTCGATTCCCACTCCAGCCTGTGCAAGTTTTGGCAACCTGGAAATTTCCCTACTGGTCTACTGGGTGTGGTGTTTTGTCCGTTGTCTAGTGTTAAATATTCAGTCTGTGCAACCTCTGGATGAAGACGGTGTCAATTGTCTTGTCAACTCTGATGATAATTGCATGGAGATTTTGCCAATAAAGGAAATACAATCCGGAAGAGAAATCATAGAAAATTCTTATGATGAAACTTAAGGA